TTCCCTGGCTCTGAGGCTGACACTGTCTATTCTTCACAATTAACTTTTTCTAAAATTGAAGTGTAGTTGATTTACAACATTGTGTTAGTGTCTAATATACAGCATAATGCTTCAGTTATACATTTATATATTTTTTCTTTTTCAAATTCTTTTTCACTGTAAGTTATTACAGGCTATTGAATATAGTTCCCTGTTGTTTATCTATTCTGTATATAGTAGTTTGTATCTACTAGCCCCAAACTTGCAATTTATCCCTCCTCCAGCACAATTAACTTTTTATTGACATTTAACCTGTAGATCCTGAGGGTCTATAACTCAGTGTCTAGTATTCAGATCCAGAAGCAGAACAAAAGTAGCGCCCCAGGAGCCCCCTCCCACCTCTCCCAGCCACTCCCCGCCAGGGTAACCGCTATCTTGAGCTTTGTTTTACATTTTTTTTCAACTTCCTTAATATAACATGCTGGCCTCTCTTTAAAAAAAAAAATCACAGCACAAAGAAGATATTTGATTTTTGGTCTAAATTCAGAGAGGATAATCTTTTGTATTTCACGTAAAAAGGGTCAAATTTCCTGATGACATTGCTTTTAGGCCCTTGCGTTCCTGCGCTGGAGTTTCCTTCTGTCTCCCTAAATCTTTTGAAACCATGCTCCTCAAAACATGTTCCTAAATTGATTGCTATCTTGAACCTACATTTTCTAAGAAACATGGGGCATTTTTGAACTGGCTTCTTTCCACCTAAAATTCTAAACACAGGAAATTCCCACTGTTGTCTCCCTAGGTAGATGTGACCCACAAAGTCAGTTGCATAAGTAACATGGGTCTGGAGTGAGAAATGAGGAGACATTGGCAGTGGTACTGCGTTCACAGGGCTCTGCAGTGGGTGAGAGCTTGGTGTGCTCGAGTAAGGGGTGCAGGTGGCAGGGAAGTGGGAAAAGGGAGGATGGCCGAGAGCTGGGGACACATCTTGCACAGTCCCTGGGGTTGGACAGGGCATGGCCTGTGAGGCACTTGGAATTAACCCAGAGTGTAATGGGAACCACTGCAGAGTTTGTCCTCGGACCAGTGAGCCTAAGACCAGCAGGTACCAGGCCTGGCTTACTGGCCCACTGCAGTGAAGGGGAACACAGGGCAGAGGATAAGGGAGCACCCTTAAAGTGCCCCCACCTGTCTCATTCATGGCTGCATCTTCAGCATCGTTAGACACACATGTTATAACCCAGGATTCAGGTCCCTAGAGAACATGAACATCACCTGGGAAACTCTGAGCATGATCCATGGACTCAGCAGTGACATTTCTTTACCTCAGCTCTTCATTTTCTCCTCAAGGCCCTTCTCATGATTCCCAGATCCGCTAGGATCTCGTTGCCAGCTCTGCCTTTCCAAGTGTATGACATACCTGCCCAGAGCTGGTGCCCTCCAGCCCTGAAGGCGAGCCTCCTCTGTGGTCCTGCTCCTCCCAGGCTTCTGCGCCTGAAGTGTGGGGTCTCAGCATCACGCAGATGTTGCATTTCAGCTGTCCACTGGGACATCTCCTAGGGCTTCAGTCCTGACTCCAAAGGACATATCACGACTCGGAAGCCAGCTTTGTGCCCAGGGAGCCCAGA